ATTCAGGTTTTACAGAGCCAAATAGAGATGTAAATATGTATATGTTACCGTCAAAGCCGGAAATCAGTCAATGCTAGTAATTCCTCTGCATTGTTATCAATGCAAAGCACCTTCAGACGAAGTCGGAAATTGAACAATTCTTACAGTTTTTCCTAGGCATCGAACATAATACTTTGATATCCTATAAAATATCAAATTACTATTTAAACAACATTGAAAAGAATACATTCTCGAGAGCACAACCCTCCCCCAACATCCGTAATATACGTAGTAACTATGAAAAAAAGAAAAAGGTGTGAAGGCAAGAAGTATATATATATATATATATATGTGCGTGCGTGTGTGATGTACACCTACTTGTATCATTTCTTTTCATTTGGTTTATGCATTCTATGAACAAGTTCAACACTATTTCATGCTCCTTCATGTCATCTTAACACGACAAGAAAGAACTAGAGAGAGAGAGAGAGAGAGAGAAAGAGAGAGATAAACGACAAAAGGAAACTATAGTTGATGTAATCTATTCTATCTTTCTTTCTCTCTCTTACTCTCTTATTTTCTCTAAACCAACAAATACCAGCGGTTCCGTGTCAGAGAAACGGTGAATCACTACTTTAATACTCTCAAATGTAATTCTGATTAAAAAAATTTTTCACGGAAATCTTATCATTCGTGATATTTTTTCATGATCAATTTTAATTGCAAAAATCATTCGACGATGATCTTTTACGATACTTTAAAAATATTGTAATATCCTTTAAGGTTAGGAATATTATTTTTTTAATTTAGTTTTGTTTTATTTTCCAGTCCATCCTTTTTCTTTTTTTTTGATGAAACATAATTTCCTTTTTTTATTTCTTTCTTTATATATTAAAGTTATATATTACTATAAAATTTAAAGTAATATAATAATAATAATAATAATTTTATTCTGCTCCATAAATTATGTGTCACTTTATATTTTAGTATCATTTTATAGAATAGTTCATTAAAATTCATAGTTAATACTTTTGTAATAATTCTGATATCATTTTAATCAGTTCTGAATAAAAAAAAAAAAACAACGAAAAGAAACAAAATAATATTATATACGATATTTCACGCTACAAATTATAGAAATTCTTTAAATTTTTGTAACATTTGTTTTTTTTTTTGTTCGAAATTATGAATGGTTATTTCAACGTGACAAAACGACACACTAACTCAAAAGATGTTTCCAATGTTCCCAAATAAAACGCTTAGTCAAATGTAAATGTAAATAAATCAAAAGAAAAAGTGTTTCAGTTTGTTGAACGAACGAACAAGCATGGAAAATCTATTAAACCACGTTATTTGTCCTAGTCTATCATTCTGTTCTCTTTTAAGAAAAAAAGAACAAGCAATGAAAAAAAAACCATGTCTACTGGTATAGGTACCTACATATGTATATATATTATGAATGAATATTTTACATAAATGTATATATGCGTTTATATGTGTATACATATAGGTGTACGAATAACGTCACGCATACTTTCTAATCATATGTACTGCCATTCGATTAACGATCATTTCAGAAGCCGGAAAATCTATAATTATTATTATTATTATTATTTTGAATCTCGTTATCTTGTTAAAAACATCTAATCGAAGTTAGGTTGAAATTTTCGATTAGTTAAGCTTTCTCCCAACGTTATCCATTTATACATAAACATTGTATGTATTATATATGTATAGGGAAAGTAGGACTTTCAGGAAATGTGAGCTTGTCCTAGACATTGGCCACAATAAGTTTTTGACAACGTAGGAAACAAAAAAATTGCTACGGACTCTTCTTAGGCATTGTACATAATACTTTTGTATCCTATAGAATATCAAATTACTATTTAAGCAATGTTGAGAAGAATACATTATCGGGCAATAGGCACCACACACACACACCTCACATTCAACACACACCCCGCTTCCACACACACACTCAAAAGCGAGCATGGTGCGGGTTATTGAAACTGTGCGTGCCGCTACAAACTGAAACTTAGTCAATGCTGGTGTGTTAATATGTAGGGCCCACTGTTACTTATCGTAGTAGAAGATTATATTACGTTTAGACCGATATTCATAGAGATTTCTATGGAAAATCTGTATCTTTTGTTCCTTATCGTATCGGAAAATAAGCGGTTTTAGACGAAATGTTTCATATCTGCTTTTTTACTTTACCGGTTTCTCATTTGTCATTTAACAGAATATCTAGGAAATCTGAGAGATACGAATAAATTTCCGACTTTGTTCGAAACAACGCTTTGCATTGAGGACAATGCCGGGATATTGCTGACATTGCCTGATTTCCCACTATTCCGGTAACATATATAATAATATATATGATGATCTCTTGCAATTCTTAGAAAATATTATATCCTTTAAGAGGAAAAGAATATTATTTTTTAATCTCTACACACACACACACACAAATTTTTTATATAATTATTATTATTTTATATATGTAAATTATTTATTGAATTATTTATTTTTACATATATGTATAAGTTTGAAACACTTAAATGTGACTCATTCTGTGAACACGACTATATCTCTCTCTTTTTCTATATTTATTGAAGCTTCGTGTCTTTTCTAAAAATACATACAACACGTATACATACATATATGCATACATGCATACATATATCTATGTCTTTGTCATCCCCTGTCGGGTGACATTCGACCACGCATATAGTAAAATCTCTTACTCTTTCTGATACATTTTCATATATTAGATTTTTCTTATTCCTAAATTTTCTCGGCCAATCAGAAGTCGCGAAAATCTGTCGAATAAACTTTACCGTAAAAAGAAATTAATTTAATAGAAAAGCAAGATTATTTGTAATCAATCGGATTTGAGATAAAAGAAAACAAAAAAGAAAGAAAAAAACTATTAAAACGATCTCATTCTAGTAATAATGATTCATACGAATCTAACGTCATACTGTCTTATATTGTTTTACATTAAACAGACTAATGTGAGTAAAAGTCGTTGTAAAAATCGTGTTCTTTTCGATGAGAATTCTTAAAATCAAATTTTCAGTTTAAAATTTAATCAATTTTGCATGTTTCTTTCTCAATAAATTGAAATATTGAGGAAGCATAGAAAATTATACGAAAAATCTTAATATTACGGAGGGACCATAAAAACTAAACTATAACCGTTGTTTCGTAATAAATCGTACAAAGGGACAATGAATTTTTGATTTGAAAACGTTAAATGAAAGTAAATTCGTTCCTTCCTTGTCTTTAAACAGTTAACCAATGAATCGTACGGTAAAAGATTCTTCAATAGTAATTAAATGCGAATCACGATGGTTATTAAAATGTTAGTCATTGATCGAATTCTTAGTAAGTATTTCCTATATTAATCGTTTCATAGTTAATAATGGATTATTTTTTGAGATTGCATGTAGATAAATAATGGTCATACACGTTATGGTATGTCATAGTAATCAAAAATAGTCTTGTTGTAATGGGAAATAAGGAAAAAAAAAAAGAAATTCAAGGAGTGTCCGCGTATTTCTTTCGTGATTCATAACGAAAGGACGAACATAAAAATCTAACAAAAAACAAAGATGTCATATTTTTTTACAAGTAAGTTTTATTTCTTTTTGTTATTCAAATATCAAAATATAATTATACAATTTTTACTTATCTTTTTAATAGAATTGAGTATTATAAAATTTAATATAATGTTAATATAATTATATTATGAAATATTATAATGTAATGTATA